GAGATATACTTAAGTATTAATTAAGAATAGACTTTCAGAGATGCACTACAAATGTACTGAATTAGAAAACTGGGGATAAAATGGGGATTTTTATTTTTAATTAACTTCCTGGTCTATTCTTATAATAGAAATTTAAGACAATTATTATTCTGTTGTATGCAAAGAGATAGTTCACCTCTATATTTGTTTCTCATCTAGTGCTAGAAGAATCACAGGATTTAAAAATCTGGACTCACGATGTGAATTTCTTACAATCTGATATGCTTACCAGTATACTGTAGAGTTAAAAACTCAAATTTTCAACTTTGTTTTAGATAGCTATCTGCAAAGCACACTATAATTTTTGTATTCAAATAAAGTTTACTCCTCAAAATAAATCTATACATTTATGATATCTATTGTTTCCATATTGTCATGTTGTTTGCTTGTTCTACTAAAGAGTTAAAATTTAATCAATTAGAAATTGTAGTAGAACTTTCATAGTATAAAATTTGGGAGGCCTATTGTGAAATTTTATATGTTCTTACGTGTTTTTCTCAAGGTGAAAATTACTGGCTTTAAAACTTAATAGCAACTGATAATTGAAACTTTGGTTTCAAGATATTTCCTCAAGAGAAAATTTCAAAAGATATTTTACATCTTTTGCAGACTTGATAGCTACAGATTAATTGATAAGTCTTCACAATATATAAAAAGCTGGTTTTATTACCTATTCTGTTAGTAGGTAGGTTTTGCTGGGAATGTAAGACTTTTTTACTGTTTTGTTTTTGTTTGCTTGTTGTTTGATTATTTCTCAGAAAGGCCACATTAAATCCAGCCACCAAGGACATTGATAGCAACGGTAAACTTAAATAACAAAAGCAGAAGGATTTTCATGTTAGATACAAACTTAATTCAGACAAGTAGTGATGTTAGCCTTGTAGATAAAATATTGGAGCATTCAGTCATGAAATAAGCTATAATAAAGTTTTAAAAATTAATTTAGAATGAAACTAGATCCTTGTAGAAAAGTATGCCATAAAAATAGATGAATTATATTACTATTAGAGTGCTCCCACTTAAAAAGCCTAGAATATTATTCATCTGAAGTAGCGTTGTGTGGTGGTGAGGTGACCAAACTTTGAAGTTAAAATTCATGGTCTGCCGCTAACCAGCTCTGAAATATTGAGAAAATTACTTAGTCTCTTTTAACCCCACGTCCTATTTTTGTAAAATGGGAATGATAAAAGATCTAACTTCAGACTTGCCATGTTGAGTGATTTAAATTAATGTAAAATATTTAGCATAATGTACAGCACATATAAAATGATAAGATTTAGCTTACTAGTCATCCTTGATTCTTTTATTTTCTACAGTTTTTCATGGCATGTTATATATTTTTGAGTAATTCCATACACATTCAAAACAGAAAAATGTAAAATAGCTAAAATTTTTTTTAGCAACCCATTATGTTTATCATATATCTTTATTTCTACTTTCCCACAAAGTATCTACTAGCTCTCTGATGTTCACTAGTAATCTATGCCCAATGTCATATCCTCCACCTAAATATATTTCCTCTTCTGAGCATGGAAAAAATAGACTTTTTAGTTTTTCTCAGCATCTTCCCAATGTTTCATTCCTTCATCAATTTATATCATGAAATATTAAAAGGTGATAAGGTTAGTTTGTGACACTTGTACAAACACATGTATGAAGTGATTCCTTAGATAAAATGTGACATGTTAGCTTCCTAACTGCCACCCAAATCTTTTTCTTACATTTTTTCATGCCTGGATCTTTATGCTCTCTTGCCATCATATGTCCTCAGCTCTGCTTGCCCAGGTACTTCCATCCATTAATACTATTTCCATTTCTACTGTCGTGAAGTATTTATGACCATTTCTCTCAGATTTTCCTCTTTGGACTGTTACCTGAACTTATCAAATTCAGTTTTGTAATTATAATATAATATTTTTACCTAATAAGTCAACTGTTTGTGTCCTCTTTCTCTAGCTATAGTTTACTGAATATAGGAAATGGAGAGGAATTAGAGGTTGAATCAACCCTAGTGACCAATGATTTAATCAGTAATGCCTGTGTAACAAAGCCCCTGTAAAAACCCTAAAGGATAAAGTTAGGAACACTTCCAGGTTGGTGAACACATGGAAATATAGGGAGATTGGACAAATTCTGAGAGTGTGAAAGCTGAGTGCCCCTGTCTAATACTTTGCTGTAAGCATCAGGCTGTTCTGAGTTGTATCTTTTAATAATAAATCAATAATCTAATGAGTAAAATGTTTGTCTCAGTCCTTTGAACCACTCAATAAGTTAATAAAATCCAAGATGTGGATTTTATGTGGGTGGGGGGGAGGGATATTGGAAACTCCAATCTATAACCATCAGTCAGAAGCACAAATAATCTGGACTTTCGATTGGTATCTGAAGCTGGCGGAAGACAGTCATGTAGGATTGAGCCTTTCACCTGTGGGATTTGACACTATATCCATATAGATAATGTCAGCATTGAGTTAATTGCTTAGTGGAATTGGAAAATACACATGCATTGAAATCAGTCAGAAAGGAAATGTTAAGTGAAATAAAAGGAATATACAAGTTCAGTGTAATCCCTATCAAAACCCCAAAGAGATTCTTCATGGAAATAAGACAAAAAGTCATGAAATTTATTTGGAACTATAAAAGGACCTAAAGAGTAAAAACACTCCTTAGAAAAATGAATAAAAATGGAGGTATCGTGCTTCCTGACTTCGAACTGTATTATAAAGCAATAGTAATTATAACAACTCAATATTGAAATAAAAACAGGCACACAGATCAATGGAACAAATTGAGAACCCAGAAATAAAATCACACAAATATAGATCACAACTATATGACGAAACCAAGAGCTTACACTGAAGAGAGTGAAGTCTTTTCAATAATTGTTGGAAAAACTAAAATATTGCAAAAGAATGAAACTAGGCCACTATCTAATAATGTATACAAAATTATTTTAAAATGGATTAAAGACTTAGATATAAGACCTGGAACCTTAAAATACGTAGATGAAATACAGACCATAGTCTCTCTGACATCAGCCTGATGTCTAATATGTCTTTGGGGACTTAACTATTATGTAAAAAGAGCCAAAAGCAAAAATAAACAAATGGGACTACATCAGACTAAAATACTTCTGCATCAAAATGAGAAGGAGAAAAAATACTAAAAGGCATCCTACTAAATGATAGAAGATTAAACATCATATGGCCAACAGGAGACAATATCCAACTGTGTGAAGAAGAATTCATTAAATTTAACAGTAAAAATCAAATAATGCAATTAAAAAATGAAAAATCTGAATAGACACTTCTCCAAAGAAGACATAAGGATGCCAATAGGTACTTGAAAATATGTTCATCATCTCTTATTATTAGATAAATGCAAATCAAAACAACATTGAGATATTGCCTCACACCTATGAAAATGGCTATTATCCAAAAGACAAGAAACAAGTGTTAGAGAGGATGTGGACAGAGGGAACCCTTATTTATAATTAGTGGATTGTAAAGTGGTGCAGCCATTATGAAAATCAAAAGATTTCTAAAAATAATTGAAAATAAACATTCTATTTAGTTATCCCACTTCTAAGGTATTTACCAAATATACACACACACATATATTTTATATATACATATGTACTAATTCAGAGAGCCATAATCACCTTCATACTTATTGAGTATTTACAATAGACAAGAATTAGAAACAACCTAAGTGCCCAATGATTGAAAAATGAAAAAGAAAATGTGGTATCTGTACACAATAGAATGCTATTCAACTACAGATGAAATTCTGCCACTTGCAACAATATGAATGGACCTAGAGGTATTTCTGCTTAGTGAAATAAGTCAGAAAGACAAACACACCAAATGCGATCATTCATCTGTAGTATATAGCGAAGACAAACAATTGAACTAAATGAAATAAAATAAACTTTTGATTTATCAGACCAATTAGTGGTTTCCACAAAAAAAGGGGGGGGGGAGGAAGTTTGGGTAAGTTGGGAAAAGGGGGGCAATGATAGAGTAAAAGCCAAACTGGACTTTTAGTGGTGAAATTTATGTAGTATATACATGTGCTGATTCTCGACAATGCACACCTGAAACTTATTTAATATTATAATGCAATTCTATTTTAATAATAAAGTTAAAAACAAGTACGTGAGATGAAATAAAATGCCAGTATACTTGTACAATTTAAAATGATGCAAATGATACATGCTAAAGTAGAAAAATGTTAATAACATTGACATCAGTAAAAGTGTTCAGAGTAGATTGTCTTGATGAATTTAGTATTTTACACTTTAAATTACTTTTTATTTAAAATTGCAATTTAATGGCACTATTAAATCTTTTCTTTTGGTAATATAAATACAACTCATTATTTTTTGCCTCTAAGTCAGGCCTTAATTATTTAAAATTGTATTATGTATATTTGACATCAGAATTCACATTTAAGCATATGAAAGAGAATGAGTCTTCTGAAACTTGTAACAGAAAAAGAATTTTTTTATTTTTGTAAAATATTGGGGGAGTTCAAAGAAATTGCTTTAAATATATAATAACTCAGAAAGAAGTTGTAATATAATTGTTTTTTCAAAGCACATTGTTTACTAATTCTAAATGATATTTAAATTCATTTTGAAAAAATGTGTCATGGCTGCAAGTATCTTTACTTTATACTAACCTTAAAAATAACTTTGTCTTATTACAAAACAAAACCTAACTGTAAAATGTATATATATTGACTTCTTTTTCAAGTTTCACCTGTAGGGAGTTTGGAAGTCAGTCATCACTCGGCCTTAACAAGTTAACAGCTGAAGATACTGAAAAATCACCAACTCCCCTTGGAGTCCTAGGAGATGAGAGGGCTCCAGAAATAACTCTGGCCTGGAGCTTGGAGAGATAGGAGAAGACAGTCACAGCTTGCTGGAGCAGAGACTCCTGTGAGTGACACTGTGTTTGGACCAGGGCCAAGGTAGGAAATCCTGAACTGTAATTGATGAACTGCTGGAATTCATTGTGAATAACTTTCAGAGTTAAAAATCTCCTGGTCATAGGCAGGGTGCTACAATATTGGGAGAATTAGCTCAGGAATTTGGGTTCCCACAGTAAATATCTGAGAAATAGCCATCTGTGTTTCCACTATTGAAAAGGGGAAAAAGGAACAATTTTTAAATATAACAGAGCTCTCCATTATTCTTAAGAAGGCCTGTCCTCAGGAGAAACAAGTTAAACAGTGCCTAACCTGCTGGGCAATTTTATCAGTGCTTTACCAACATCTGTGATGGGAAATATCCAAATGCAGTCAGTTCTGGCCTTCCATGGAGAAGGGAAATATCCAACTCCTAGTCACTTAAGTCAACCTATCCAATTTAAGATGGGGAGGGGGGAGGTGAGAGGAGGAAGATCAAAAACATTTGTGAAGTTCATAGTCCAGAGGATTAGGCTCAAGAAAGTCCTAACCATGGAACTGTAGAATGCTTCCTAACCCCCACAACTCACGGTTCCATTACTAAAGACCTACATACAGACACAGTACAAGATCAGAACCGGACACAGATATGGCAGGGATGTTGGGATTATTACATTAAAAATCAGTAAAAATTGCAATTAATATGCCAAGGATTCTAGTGGAAAAAGTAGCACACAAGGACATGTAAGCAATGCGATGGAATTCCTGAAAAAGAATCAAATGAAATTCTAGCGATCAAATATAATGTAACAGAAATGAAGAATGTTTTTAATGGGGCTAGAAATAGACAGGACAAGGCTAGAAAAATCTCTGACTTTGAGAATTTATTAATAGAAACTTCAAAACCTAAAACAAACAGAAAGGAATAGCTAGATTGTGGGACAACTATAAAAGCTGTAATATATGTGTAATGGGAATATCAGAAGAAGAGAGTAAAGAATAGAAGAAAATATTTGAAACAGTAATTATTGAGAATTTCTCCAAATTAATGTCAGACACCAAACCACTAAGCCAGGAAGCTCAGGGAACACCAGGCCGGATAATTGCAAAAACAAAACAAAACTATACCTAGACAGACCATTTTTAAATTACAAAAAATCAAAGGAAAAATCCTAAAGAAATCAAAGGGAAAAACAAAACCTAATAGGTATAAATGTTTTTAATCTTTTTACTGAGTTTATGAGTATATTTTTAAATGTGACATTATACCTCTGAATTTGAATGTTAGTTGTAAAGTGGTAAAAAAAATCTCAAATGATTCATACTCAAGTATTTTAAATATGTATCTATTGCAAAAAAACAAACAGTAGATGTGACACCAAAATAAAAGGATGAGAAATTAATTTGACCTTTTGTTCCCTAGAATCCTGCAGAGTATATGGTCTAAAGTCCATATTTAATAACACTGTACACTGATATGATAATGTATTATCAGTTCATATGGGGAAAATAGAATAAAACATTAAATTTTAAATAGTGTATTTTGTATTAGGGAAAATAACATCATTTCTGTTAATTTTTTCTGCTTGGTATTTCCATTATTGAGACAATTTATATATAATATTTTATTAGTTTTAAGTTTACAGCAAAATGATTTGAAATTTGTATACATTGTAAAATGATCATCACAATAGGTCTAGTTAACAGTCATCACCACACAGTTAAAAATTCTTTTCTTATTATGACAACTTTTAAATCTACTCTCTTAGCAACTTTCAAATATGCAATATAATATTATCATTAACTATACTCCATGTGCTATAGTTTATATCTGTATATTTATTTTATAACATTGGAGGATTGAAGCTTTCAATCACTTTTGCCTATTGTACCCACTCTCTACCCCGCAACCTCTGGCAGCCAGCCATATATTCTCTTTATCTTTGACTATGGTGGTGGTGTTTTTTTTTAAATTTTTCTTGGGGGTTAGTTTTTAGGTTCTGCATGTAAGTGAGACCACACAGTATTTGCCTTTCTCTGTCTTATTTAACTTAGCCTAATACCCATGTTGCCATAGATGACAAGATTTCCTTCATTTTTATGACTGAATACTATTCCTTTATGTGTATGTGTATGTATGTACCTATATAATATTTTCTTTATTCATTCCTCAAAAGATACTTATAGTAGTTTTCATGTGTTGACTATTACATATAATGCTGCAATTAATATAAAGGTGAAGATAACTTTTTAAGATAGTGATTTTGTTTCCTTTATATAAATATCCAGAAGTGGAATTGTTTGGTTATATGGTAGTTCTATTTTTAATTTTGGTATATTAAGTCTCCATACGGTTTTCCATAAGGCTGCACCAATTTATATTCCCACCACTAACAGTACACAGCAGTTTCTTCTTCCATACATCCTCACCAACATTTGTTCTTGTCTTTTATAAAATAGCCGTCCTAACAGGTGAGAAGGGGTATCTCATCGTGGTTTTGATATGCATTTCCCTGTGATTATTGAATGATGAGTATCTGTTGGTCATTGCATGTCTTTGAAAATACGTCTTTTCAGATCCTCTCCCCAGTTTTTTTTTTTTTTTTTTGTGGGACCCTCACCGGTGGCCGGGGAAACGAACCGGCGCTGCAGAGGCTGCAGGCAGCCCCGCAGCCCAGTGCTCAACCACTGCACCACCAGGGGAGGCCCTCTCCCCAGTTTTTAATCAGTGGTTTTTTTTTTTTAATTCTTGTTTGCTGTTGTGTTAGTTGTTTATATATTGTGGATATTAACTCATCAGATATGTGATTTATAAGTATGTTCTCCTATTTGATAAGTTGTTTTTCATTTTGCTCATGGTTTCCTTTAGTGTGCAAAAGCTTTTAGTTTGATGCAGTTGTGCTTGTTCATTTTTTATTTTGTTGCCTTTGCTTTTGGTGTCAAATCCAAAAAAATCATTGCTAAGATTGATGGCAAGGAGCTTACTGACTATGATTTCTTCTAGAGCTTTTATGGTTTCATGTTTTATATTCATGTCTTTAGTCCATTTGAGCTAATTTTTGTGCATGGTATTAAAGAGTGGTCCAGTTTTATTCTTATATGTGTTGATGCCCAGTTTTCCCAGCACCATTTACTGAAGAGACTTTGCTTTTCCCATTGTATATTCCTGCCTCTTTTATCACAAAATAATTGACCAGACACTGTCTACAACATGCTGGAATAGGGAGGTTTTGATAAACCTTTCTCCTGAGTAGTAGTAGGAAATGAAATATTGCTCACAGAAAATTTCACCAATCCATTACAGGTGACAGAGGACTGACCCATGGATATTTCACTGGAGATCAGTGGCTCACTATGGTAGTAAAATAGGGAGTCAGAGAAGGAGTTGCAGACAGGGTGTGGTCATTCTAATCAGTCGAAAAGCTGGGTGCCTTATGCAGGGGATATTTTCACTGCGGGGGCAGTGAAGACCCAGGCACACAGTTGATTCAGTGGAAGATAATCTGACTGTTGACAGCATGGCCAGTGGAGTCCATACCCTCCCCGAGAGAGGAGATCAGAGCAAGAGACCTGCTGCACACGTCAGAGAGGAGTGGCAAGAACATGGGACTGTTAGAATATGGTCCTGCAAAGCAGTGATCAGAGCTTGCTCTGGACCCTCTGCTATGTGGAAGAGCAGGGGTTAAATCTCAGGGCATTTAAACAGAAGCGACTTGAATGGTAAAAGTAAGCAATTTAACAAGTATAAAGAATAGACTTCCATCTCAATCAATCCATACATCGACCTTTCAAACACTGCTGCTAAAAGCTATTTCCAATTAGATACATACAGCTGTGGTTTTTCAGATTTGCATCAAGAAGTTTAGCTATTTCCTAATGAACCACATATCTCTACACTCTGTTGATTGTCTGGATTATACCTAACACTGAAGTGCTTTTCCGTCAGTTGACTATCCTCTAAGACTATCATCAATATCTTTTTGTTGTTGAATATGATGTTGCAGTGAATAGTGTTATTCCATCTCTTCAAAGATTTTATATTATTGAAAATAAATTCATTGATCTTTTTTGTTGTTGTTCATAATCAATATCTTGTGGAATGGAAACATTTTCAAAGGCCTTGGAATAGAAAATCCTCCCTTTAATATGAACGTGCCATGCTTTTCAAGAAAGATCATAGCTGCACACTTTGTACTGATCAGTCAGGCTATAAAGAAGTAGATACAATAGACATAATAACTCAGGATTTATTTTGTACTTACTGAAATCTTCTACTTGTTTGAAAATTTCATCAGTTTCTGCGATGTGTTTATTTTTAATAAGGCTTCTAAACAACCACTTTTCCTTATTGACCAATATAAACATCTGAAAATTGAATGAGTGATGTATTTAATTTATTTTAAAAACAAGAAATTCTTTAAATGTACAAAATTATAATAACTATATACTTCATAATTATAAGCATCCAGATAGACACCACTTAATAACTTGTTACTTTGGCAGTGAGTACAGATGGATAGTTACATTTCAGAAAACATAATAAACACCACATTTTCGACTCATTAAGCAGGTAAAAAGCAGTTTAGTCAAAGTCACTTCTCATCTATATTTACAATTCAATTTTAAGCTAAACAATTAAAAAAGTTAGAGATTTGGGTTGTGTGGTTTTCTGTAAATTTGAACCATATAAGTAAAGTGGGTAATCAAGCTTTTTCTCTCAATATTTTTATATCTGTTTCCTTCAATCCTCCATCCCTCCACCAAACTCTCCTAATTCATAGTTATTCTCTCAATAACACGTGTTTTAGTAAACTAAACATGTGCACTCTTACGATCAGAAAATCTACTAGAAAATAAATATTATCGACAAAGAATTATGCTCCTCTTTAGATACATATTGTATTAGGAGAAGAAAAGAATTTTCAGAGGAATATTTTATCAAAGTAGTCCTTTGGTCTGATTTAAATTCATAAAGTACATAAATATGTCATTAGATTAGATGAATACATCTAAATCATGTAAAAGTAAGTTCAAATAATAACACAAAAATTATCTAAAATTCA